TGCTCCGGGCCCCCGCCGCCCGGCCGAGGGGGGGCCGTGCTCCGGGTCCCCGCCGCCCGGGGTGCCGTGCTCCTGGCCCCCGCCGCCCGGGGTGCCGTGATCCGGGCCTCCGCCGCCCGACCGAGGGGGTACCGTGCTCCGGGTCCCCTCCGTCCGGGGTGCCGTGCTCCGGGCCTCCGCCGCCCGGCCGAGGGGGAGCCGTGCTCCGGGCCCCCGCTGCTGTCTCTTCCTCACTTCCCAATAGGAACCATTTCCCCAAGCAGCTCTGGGTCGCTGCTGAAATAATGACCTTTGTTCCCTCCCCCCGTGTTTCCGGTTGCCTGAGAGCCCGCGGGGCGCTGCCTGATCCCAGGGTGCTGCTGCTTCTCGCTTCACGGCAGGGAAGAGCCTGGAGGCGTGTAAAAAGTAGCTAGAGAGGAGGAGCCGCGGGCTCGCTGCCACCTAGGATAATAAACAGGAGCGGCTTTCAGCGACACGAACTGACCCTCTGCAAGGGGGAAGGGAACTGAGTAGCAAGGAATAGTGTTTGAGCTGGGGGGGTCCAACAGGAGAGAATAGCAAAGTTTGGCACGGGGAGTGAAAGGAAGAGCAAAAGTAGGTAATTGTTTTGCTTTTATTGAAAAAAGCTAATCTAAGCACCACTTTTAAATCACACATTTTCTTACTGTCTCTATGTAAACAATTGCTGTAGATGTTATCAAATCGTGAATGGGAAGGGAAGTGTTGAATCACAAGTAATCTGTTAAACTGTGGTATGTGATAAAGTCTGAGAACCTTTGACCTCAGAGTTTAGAGAGAGACTTTTCTAGCAGCCAAATTGCATTTTGAAATTACTATAATTCCAATATAGTCTAATTTAACCTAAATAAAATTTCCTGCTGTGTTGTTCAGATGAAGCTGCAAGTACTCTAATTAGAAGTAATTCAGACAATTTAGTTCCATTGGAAGAATTTTTTTTGTCTCTTTGGAGCCTTCACCATTTGCTGCACTCACACCAGCTCTAGACACAGGGATCAGCTTTGCACCTATCATTTACAAGAATATTGTTAACCCTCCCCCCTCCCCCCCCAAAAAAAGTGCATGCTGCCTTCCTCTGAACTGATAAAGCCTGAAATGTTGACCCAGACAAAAGATGTAAGGCGATGCTGGTAGGAAGAAGGAAGTAATATGAAAAACTCTTCTCAACAATCTAATCCTCAAAGGCATCTGCTCTCATATTGTTAAATCAGTTTTTAGCCTGAAAATCCTACTGGACTCCACACAGTGCTTAGACACCTATATAGCGACAGTGGCAAAAAATGCCCACTTCCATGTGTGACTGGCAGAAAATAGATTCTGATGCTATCGGACTTAGACCTGGTCACAGTGATAGTTCCCTCATACTCATACTTCATAAATTTGTTCAAAAAGGGAGTAAAATGAAGTTTGCTTCTTGTTCTCAGGAAAAGAGAAATATTGCTGTCACTTAATGGTGGGATATGTCAGCTATTACAGAGATGGGCAGATATATAATACAAACTTGGATGAGCTATGTGTCAATCTATTGTTACACTAAGACCATGCTCTGATAGGCAATGGAATTGGGCTTTGCTGGACCATAAAGGGACATAACATTCAGAGTAGAGGAACTCTACTGAAACACCCCTTCACCAGCCCCAGATTTTCAAAGCAAGGCTCTATGAGCAAAATCATCCCAGCTCAGTTGTCATAGGGATATATGAAGAAGAGGCATCTCTTGGGTAACTAGGGCCCAAATTATACTGGGATATATAGATTGGCATTCTATGTATTTGTATAGACTGACATTAGGGCCCTACCAAATTCAGGGTCCATTCTGGTCAATTTTACAGCCAGAGGGTGTTAAAATTGGTCAATTTCACAATTTCAGATATTTACATCTAAAATTTCAGTGTTGTAACTGTGGGGGTCCTGACCCAAAATGGGATCGTGGGGAGGTTGCAAAGTTGTTGTGAGGGGGGGTCCCAAGATTGCCACCCTCACTTCTGTGCTGCCTTCAGACCTGGTTTCTGAAGGCAGCAGCCCCTGAGCTTCCTGCAGTTAGAGGTGGTTCCCGAAGGTGGGTAAGATCTTCCCCCATGCTGCTGGGAGCGCCCCAGCCGGGGGCTTGTGGCTGCTAGTCCAGGCCAATGACAGATTAAGGCGGGGCCCCCTGGAAAAATGAGTGCCTCAGCCCCAGAAGATGCCCCAGGCAGAAGCCCAGACTGGGTCACCTGAGTCCTAGCAGAGTCCTGGAGGAAGAAGCCTTGAGCCTGGGCACCCCAAACCCCATCTGCAGCAGTGGGGCTGAAGCCTCAAGCCTGGGCAGCCTTGAGCCTGGACGGCCTCGAGCCCCAGTGGGGGGGGCGGAAACTGCCCCGGCTTGGGGGCGGGGTGATGGTGGAAGCCCTGAGCCAGGGCTGCACCAGCTGGAGCCGGGCCGGAGGTGGGGGGGAGTGAGGAGGGACTGGAGCCCAGCTCCCAGGCTGCTGCAGTGCAGAAGTGAGGGTGTACCACCCTCATTTCTGCGCTGCCTCTGGAGGTGGGTCTGATCTCCCCACTAAGAGCGGCCATGCAGGGGAAGGACAACTCCTGTCCCTCCCCAGCGTGAGCAGCTGGGAGCCCCTGGCCCAGCAGCAGGGGAGATGAGATTTCACAGGGAAAGGCTGACTTCACGGTCCGTGACACGTTTTTCATGGCTGTGAATTTGGTAGGGCCCTAACTGAAATTAATCACAGTAATAGAATTGGATACCAAATACAAATACACCTCTACCTCGATATAACGCTGTCCTCGGGAGCCAAAAAATCTTACCGCGTTATAGGTGAAACCGTGTTATATTGAACTTGCTTTGATCCACCGGAGTGCGCAGCCCCGGAGCACTGCTTTACTGCGTTATATCCGAATTCGTGTTATATCGGGTTGCGTTATATCGAGGTAGCGGTGTACATTGTATTCATTGTTATCCTGGTAGGGCAACATTCTCCTCTCTTCACTTTGCTGTGTGTTGTTAGGTGCTTTTGTGTATGGAGACTATGTAAGGAGGAGGTAATTTATCTCGCCAACCAACATGTCCTTGGCTCTGAGGCATTAGGCAAGTCTTGTATATCACTTCTGTGAACTATATTCACAAGTAAGTATGAAATTAGTGCAGACTTCAGAGGACTCTTGTCATATGAGTGTTTGGAGTGATTTTTAAGGGTAGCTCCATGTGGAGTCCATTCCAGGGATCCAAATGTGGGGATAAATGAGGTTGGGTCTGTAGTTGAGGTAACTGATTGGAATTTTTGTATAAAAAAGGAAGCTTCTGACTAATGCTGCCTCTAGAGACTGGAGAAGAAGCAGGGGGATCCAGAAATATCCCTCAGATTATGAATCTTAGACAGATGGTGGCCACAGTCATTGGGGCTGGCATCCCCACTAAGTTATCTAGGTGCTTGCACCAAACAACTAGCATTTCCTGTTTCTTATCTAGATTAGGGTTTAGATGAGTGACCTTGCTGCAGCTCAAGATAGGAGAAGCACTGGAAAAACAAAAGTGCTGTACTGCCCAAATTTGATGAAAGACCTAGGGCTGAGTTTCATCCAGACACTGATGGCACCATTTCCCAACCCACTAATTCTCTTCCCAGCAACCTCACAAGTGTTGAACAGGACAGATGATAGATTAAAACCCTGCAGAACCCTAAGTGAGAAGATTCTCTGTGGCAATGAGCAGTTACACACCACCCAGTGCACTGTGAAAGATAGGAATGGAACCACTCAAGTATCATCTTGCTCACACCTGTCAGGGTTTACAGTCAGGTTAATAATACCTCCTGGTTCAACATATCAAAGACTACTTACGGGCCTTGCAGGCTTATTAGGGACACCTAATGTTTGCCCATCATAAGACAAGAATTTCAACCAGTGGGACAAGTGCAGTTTCAATATTGAACCTAAGCTGGACTTTGTATTGAGGCAGGTCAAGGAAATCTGAGAGCTCCAGATGATGTAAGAGTTGCCTTCCCATCACTTCTCATAATCTTACCAAAAAAGGGCATGTTATTGATGGGGCAATCATGAGATCACACTGGCTAGGTAGATGGTGAGCTGCAACTACTGTTCAACCTTGACTTGATACTGCACAATATTTTGATTAAAAAAATAGAATGATATAAAATTAACATGGCACACATTAAATGGATTAAAAACTGACTAAGTGATAGGTCTCAAAATGTAATTGTAGATGGAGAATTATCATCAAGCAGGTGTGTTCTGAGTGGGGTCCCGTGTGGATCGGTTCTTGGCCTTGCGCTTTCAAACATTTTTATCAGTGATCTGGAAGAAAACATAAAATCATAGCTATTAAAGTTTGCAGAGGACACAAATTAGGGGAGTGGTAAATAATGAAGAGGACTGATTCAAAGCAATCTAGCTTGCTTGGAAAACTGGGAGCAAGCAAACAATGTGCATTTTAATACAGCTAAATGTAAATGTGTACATCTAAGAACAGAATGTAGGCCATACTTACAGGATCGGGGACTCTCTCCTGGAAAGCAGTGGCTGAAAAACATTATGGTG